ATGTTAAACTCCTGTAAATCAAGGAGCACATTACATAAAATTGCAGAAACTACATGAAGATTTTTTCTGGTAATTGCCAGGTAACCCAGTAGTGTAATCTTGAGAGTCTACATTCTTCTCTAATATAAATTAGCGACTACATCTATGAATTTGGTTAACCAAGTTCTTGGTGTGAAAATACTAAGTAGATAATATAAAATGATAAGACTGGTTCTATTTTCTGGAATATCTTATGACAAGCATGCGTCCCAGTGAGTTATATCATGACAACCCATAATCTTTTACAAAGCAGAAAAGGGCATATGACTCATCAAAGTTGAAGAAGTCATGCCCATTTCCTTTATTGTTCAGACGTGTAATATGCTTTTAGATGCAATTCTCCTAAATAGAGTTCCTGAGTGTATGTTTTCGAATAATAGTTTCATTTAATTGCCTTCCATTAAATTATAAAATAAAAAAGGATTTAACCTGCAGGAAATAATATCAACTTGACTGTTGATTATTTTTCTAGTAATATTTATTGTTTGTTAAAGACATACTATAGTTTTGAATAAGACAGTTTTCTACTAATTACTGTTGATATAGTATGGCTATAAATACTGATTTATTTTAATAGTGAGTTTGGATGTTTTCAATACCAGGTCTTCAGTAGTTTATGTATATGGCACCATATTACTCATGTGGCAGAGTTTTGTGTGAATTTCTTATCTCTCATTTTATACTTAAATATTTTTCCTGTTTTCATTGCAGACTTAGTCCCAGTTAGTGGTGGTAGAGGGAAGTTTGCATTAGAAGTCTATAGAGTTCAGAAAGCTGGCTATTAGTATAGAACCTTAACTGAAGGAATAATCAGAGAAGTTTATTCTTGATCAGTAAGCTATCGAATATCTTTAATCATATAATATCTTCTCAAGACAGATAAATAAGAAGGCTAGAATAATCATATTTTTATGATGACATTTACTTTGAAACCCTGATAGCGTGTGTTTTTATTAACAATGAAGTTCCTGATTTACTCATTATGGTGCTTGTCTTCCTCACACTCCTTTACCCTTGTTTTTCTGTGGTCCTCATTAACAGCTATTAATTTGCTCTGGAACAGTTAGAATTTTTGTAATTAGAATAATTTGCCTAGAAAGAAAGTCCATGTTAAAAATCACTGTCCTTTTTTGCTATTTCATGTATAGGCCAGGCTTCCTATAATGTTCCTCTGATTTATATTTTTTTTTTTACAATACTTGAGCATTGAAGTCTGAATCTAAATTTTAACCAGTCAGGAAACAATTCTTCTCATCCTATTCTTTGCATAATACTTTGTGCTAAGTCGCACACATACACACACACACACACAAAAGGTGTGCTGTAAAGCTGTAATTTTTCATAATATCTAGTTCTTTCACAAAGATCCAGTGTTTGAGTGACCTCATTGCTGCAACAGAAGTATTGATGGTTTCAAGTGTAGTGGGTAAGTAGAAATGTGTTACTTTACTTAGAGAATCAAAGCTCCCTGAGATTTTAACAATATTTTGATAATTGGAGCCATGCTTTAGAACAATGGATCGTTTTTGTCATTGAGAATCCCAAAAGAAATGACATCATAGGTGTTATTTACAGTTTTTCAAATATGTAATTAGATCATGAGATTTCAATGGATAAATATACCTGGTTATAGATTAGATTTATTGTAGATACTCTCAATAAGTCATCTATTTTGGAAATATCAGTACCCTTGTAGAACATATTTTGTTAGAGGCTGTCACATAATTAAAAGCTGCTGCACTTCAGACCTCTTAGTGTCCTTTGAGCTCCATGAGCTTCTTCCTATTTAATACACATTTTAGTATAGTAAGTTAATCAGAAATTCTTAAGATCAGCCACAGAGAAGAAATAACTACTGCTGGAATTAACAGAGGGCCTCAAGGAATAAACAGCACATTCACCCACAGGCTTTGTGACACCGAGTTTGAGTTTACTGCCCTGGCATAAGCGTTGCTCAAAATTTGTTCAATAATGTTGTTTAATTGGGGTAAAAATTAAAATGTTATTTGTAAATATGTTTCCTTTAATATTAAGCCATGGACCATCTATCACTGTGATTCTTGCTCTTGTAAAATCATGTTGTCCTACATTGCCCTGCAGACTATTTAATAATCAGGCTTCTGTTAAACGTCCTGCAGACTATTTAATAATCAGGCTTCTGTTAAAGGCTATGTTTCTAAGCAACCACAACCCACTTCGAATATGCTAGTCAATTAGCTCTAGACACCATCTTCCAGTGTTTGTCTCCATTGTTTTTTTCTAACTTGAAACACAAAGAGACACACAGAAAGAGGAAATTTTAGTATAATGCTTTGTCCTAATCAAGGTTGATGCTATTAAGTGACACCTATTGCAGAAAAACACAGTGCTTGGTCAGCCCCTGTCCAAGAGTACAGTGATGTGTGTGTTTATCAATCCCCTATCAACAGATAAGCCAGAAAGAGCAGAAACTTATTTAGTTAGTGACAATATGGAAAATAAAAAGCAAGAGAGTATCAGCTGCTGTGAGAAGAAAAGTTTCTCCTACACTGGTGTTTTCATACTGTGCTTTTTAATACCCACTTCTTTCCACAGACAAATAGAAGAGTCTCCCCATAAAAATAAACCCAGTTGTTATATACTTTTTAAAGAAACTCTAAAGAATTATCTTTCTATTCAAAAGTTAAATATCAGTTGAATTTGATCACAGAGGGATGTCTTAAGTAGCTTATTCCTGTTGATCTATCATTTTCATTTATTTCTCTTTCATATTCAAAAGCCCCATTTTATTTCTAGAGTCACAACAGCCTGTCTTACTTGGTGTGGTTGATTTTACTTCTTATCTGTAGCGGTTTCCCCCCTGTATTATTGTGTGCAGGCATCTCAGTGAGGAATGTCTGAGAAAAAAAATACTAACATTTTCTTAAGTTTCTCATATCTTAGAATAACCCCCTCTGTTGAGGTCTGTACAAAACATAGGGTTTTTTTTTGCTGTGAATATTCAACATGATTTAACTAAGCAAGGGTGAATCTTACTGGAATTTGATACTTAAAAGCAAGACTTTTCTGGGCTTTTTCTGGAATTGCCACTCTCATTAAACATAAGGTTGAGACTTAAAGTATAACATTGCATCAAACCAGGGAGTTTGGAAAGAGACTAAAGGATGCATCTGGTAACTTACTTAACTCACTAGCCATAATTGTATGTGTTACTCTCCAGTTGTTAATATATTCTATAAACTGTATCATAAAATCAAGAATGGTGCAAGATATTTGTAACACAATAGATCCTCTGGGGTATTAAGTGGATAATAATGGAAATTTTGACAAATGTAAACCAGTATCAATATGCAGCAATACTACCCCTGGGCATGTACCTACACGATAGCACCGTAGGGACTTTCTGAAACCAGAGGGAATATCAGTATATTTACAGCTTTATGGGGTTTTCCTTCCAGTTTTTTGTTTGCTTGTTTGTTTTCCCTTGAAAAATTTTGAATTCCCAATAATTTTTTGCAAGGAGTTTCACATCTTCCTCATAAGCTCTATTGGTTCTGAACCTTTGTTACTTTCCGTTTCTGGACTATAGTTTTAGTACTGGAAGAGAAAATGAATGCTTGTTCCCTTCTTTTCTATGCAGCAGACATGATTTCATAAACCTCTGTCTGGTCTTTCCTCAAATTATCTCTGTTCCAGATTGAAGAATGCTAGGTATATAGTCACTACAAATACAAAAAATGTCTTAATATTTTGATCATACTTTTTGTCCTGCTCCTTGTCTTGCTCAGTGTTACTGTATTTACTTTTGAGATGAACTACCTAATGCTGAAAAGAAATTAACCACCTTCAAATTGTGAGTGCTTGAGAAGCTAGGACTGTTTTTCTCAGGGAGCATCACTACCTATTTGATGCATGCTGGATTTTATCTGACAATTTATTGTGCATTCACTTGATCATCTTAGGAGTCTTCTGTCGTTCTCCAGAATGACGTCGCAGGTTTACTTCTCTTAATAACTCCAGAAAAATATGTGATAGTGTTTTTCACCACTTTTGTCAACTCTGCTATCAATGTGTTAATTATAATGTGTTAATGTGTGAAATTTGAAGACTCTTCTTGAATATGGTAATATTTTAGCTGTTTCATAATATGATTAACACCACCAAATTTCCTTACACATTATCATATATGTATTATATAGAATATATTATAAATTGCCAAAATGTCTGAGCACATGCAAGATATTCAGAAATTTGCTCTGGTGCTTAACAGGTAAAATGTTAAGTATCGAATGTTTTCTCATTAGGGAGTGATCTACTTCATAACCAGGTCAATGAATACTCTGCCTTTTGCATCAAAAAGAGATAGGTCAGGTCATAATATGATGGTGCCTAACCATCATATTACCTTTTACAAAGTAGGTAGAAAGAGTATTAGCGGTTTGACATATCTTTTTCTATAACAATAACTTGTAGTGTACTTTCTGACTCTTGTAAGTACTCACTGTACTGCTTTCCAGTCTTACTTTGCCTTTACAGAGGAGTATTATTTACTGCACAAAGGCTAGTATGAGATATCAGTACTCTTTGTTGAAACTGCTGGTCCACATTCAATGCATTCCCTAAATTTCCATTTAATTTATAGCACACCCCAGGAATCACACTGCAGCAGCTGTTGTTCCAACACTGCAAAATCTGAACTATGCTCTCATTCCTGCACCTTAAGAGACGTATATACAAGAGTTTATTACATGATTTACTGACCCAAGCATTATGCTTTGTTTCCTGACTAGAGGAACCTCTCAAATTTCAAAAGGGATACACTTTACAAGAGATACTAAATATTGCCAAGTATAAGGAAGCTTGTGGTTTATAACACAAAACTCAAACAAAAAGAAGTCATAGGCATTTTAGAAAAAAATAACTAACATTGCAAAAATCTGTAACAATTAACACTTAGAAAGTGAGTGCATGTGAAATCTTACTTTAAATCTTTGTAGATTTTGCTGTTGTCCACTGAATTTCTCACCTAAGGAAAAAGAAAGGGGAAAAATAAAATTTTGTGAAATGCATCATATATTATTCTGTTAGAGAATGTACGTTAAAATTGTCACAACAAGACTAATTTTTACTTTCTAATTTTGAATTCAAGTGAAGGCAACATCCTGTGTATGCAGTATTCAATCTCTAACAGCAAAGAGATCTGTACAATTTAAAATGAAGCATAATTTCTCTGTTTCAAGCTATGTAACAGTAAATCCATATAAAAAAAAAAGTCCTTCAAACTATGACTTATAAAAACATAAACTCAATCTTTTTTATTGTATCAAAATGGATATTCATTGTTGTAGTCTGTGGGTAGAGATATATATTTTTATAGACTTGATGCTTAGAAAATATGTACTACGCTTGTTCTTTGCATGCAGTCAATAAATATTTTAAACTTGAAATTGAGAAAATGCAAACATAAGAATAGATGTAGAATAAGGAATCTGAATCAATACTCAGCTAATGTAGTGAAATATCTTACAAAGATGCCTCTATCAGGTCTGGAGGCAGCTCTGAAGGATGGGTTACTCTTAAAAAGAGTTGTACTTTTTAATTCATCAGATATACTTTTTCCAAAGGATCTAAACATTTCAAAGGATTTATCAAGTTTGAGACACAGAGGCAGAATGTCTTCAGTTTAAATTTGCGTTCTGAACTTCAGTATCCTTTTGTTCATTTAATTGTAAAACCATTACAGAACTATTAATAATTTTTTATCAGGAAACGGACAAGGACTTTTGAGTGGTCTTGTAAATACCACAGACAAGGACTTATGCTAGTTACAAATCTTTCCTTCATTATAATTTCTGCAGCAGAAAACCCAGTAATCCCACATTTTCTACCAAAGTTTTTAGTGTTTTCCTAGTAATCTTTAAAAAATCTGGGTAAAGAGGAGAGCTGTTAGCTGTTTAGCATTATGCTGTTGCTGGACACAGTTTTGGAGCAATCAAATACTTTGGTTGTAGAGTACTGCTGCTTCATATATTTTAAAAAGAAACAACTAGATGACTCCAGTTTTCCTTAATAAAAAGCAATATATTTAAAATTCTAAAAAATAGTCATGTTATAGAATCAGAATATTTAGGGCTGGAAAGAACCTCAAGATCATATAGTTCCAACCCCCCTGCCATGGGCAGGGACACCTCACACTAAACCATATCACACAAGGCTTCGTCCAACCTGGCCTTGAACACTGCCAGGGATGGAGCATTCACAACCTCCTTGGGCAACCCATTCCAGTGCCTCACCACCCTAACAGGAAAGAATTTCCTTCTTATATCCAATCGAAACTTCCCCTGTTTAAGTTTTAACCCGTTACCCCTTGTCCTATCACTACAGTCCCTAATGAAGAGTCCCTCCCCAGCATCCCTATAGGCCCCCTTCAGATATTGGAAGGCTGCTATGAGATCCCCATGCAGCCTTCTCTTCTCCAGGCTAAGCAGCCCCAACTTTCTCAGCCTGTCTTCATACGGGAGGTGCTCCAGTCCCCTGATCATGTCTGTGGCCCTTCTCTGAACTTGTTGCAACAGTTCCATGTCCTTTTTATGTTGAGGACACCAGAACTACACACAATACTCCAGGTGGGGTCTCACAAGAGCAGAGTAGAGGGGCAGGATCACCTCCTTCAACCTGCTGGTCACGTTCCTTTTGATGCAGCCCAGGGTATGGTTGGCTTTCTGGGCTGCAAGTGCACACTGCCTGCTCATGTTCATTTCCTTATCGACCAGCACCCCCAAGTCCTTCTCCGCAGGGCTGCTCTGAATCTCTTCTCTGCCCAACCTGTAGCTGTGCCTGGGATTGCTCTGACCCAGGTGTAGGGCCTTGCACTTGGCAGGGTTAAACTTCATGAGGCTGACATCAGCCCACCTCACAAGCGTGTCGAGGTCCCTCTGGATGGCATTCCTTCCCTCCAGCGTATCAACCGAACCACACAGCTTGGTGTCATCGGGAAACTTGCTGAGGGCGCACTCAATCCCACTGTCCATGTCACCGACAAAGATGTTAAACAAGACCGGTCCCAACACTGATCCCTGGGGGACACCACTCATTACTTGTCTCCAGCTGGACATTGAGCCATTGACCACAGCTCTTTGTGTGCAGCCATCCAGCCAGTTCTTTATCCACTGAGTGGTCCATCCATCAAATTGATGTCGCTCCAATTTAGAGACAAGGATGTCGTGTGGGACAGTGTCGAATGCTTTACACAAGTCCAGGTAGATGACATGAACTGCTCTACCCATGACCATCAGTTCTGTAGCCCCACCATAGAAGGCCACCAAATTGGTCAGGCAGGATTTCCCCTTAGTGAAGCCACGCTGGCTGTCACCAAGCACCTTGTTGATTTTTATATGCATTAGCATGCTTTCCAGGAGAATCTGCTCCAAGATTTTGCCAGGCACAGAGGTGAGACTGACTGGTCTGTAATTCCCCAGGTCATCCATTTTCCCCTTCTTGAAAATGGGGGTTATATTTCCTTTTTTCCAGTCGTCGGGAACTTCACCTGACTGCCATGATTTCTCAAATATGACAGCCAGTGGCTTAGCAACTTCATTCGCCAGCTCCTTCAGGACCCACAGATGGATTTCATCAGGACCCATGGATTTATGCACGGTCAGATTTTTAAGATGGTCTCGAACCAGGTCCTCTCCTACAGTGGGCACAAGGTCTTCATTCTCACTGTGCCTGCGTCTGCCTTGCAAGACTTGGGTGGTTTGGTCAGAGCCCTTGCCAGTGAAGACCAAGGCGAAGATGTCATTCAGATCCAAATCCAGGGTAGCCAGTTCTACCAAGAGCTTCCTGAGGGGACCTACATTCTCCCTAGTCTCTTTTTTTATTTGCTATGTACCTGTAGAATCCCTTCCTGTTATCCTTAATATCCCTAGCCAAGTTTAATTCTAACTGAGGCTTAGCTTTCCTAACCTGGTCCCTAGCTTCCCAGACAACATCCCTGTACTCTTCCCAGGCCGCTTGTCCTTGCTTCCAGTTTTTATAAGCCTCTTTTTTCATTTGAATTTTCATCAGGAGCTCCTTATCCATCCAAGGAGGTCTCCTGGCCCTCCTGCTGCACTTCCTTCTAGTCAGGATGCAACACTCCTGAGCTTGCAGCAGGTGATCCTTGAATATCGACCAACAGTCTTTGGCCCCCGTGCCCTCTAGGGCTGTATCCCATGGAACCTCCTGAAGCAGGTTCCTGAAGAGGCCAAAGTTTGCTCTTTAGAAGTCCAGGGCAGTGAGCTTGCTGCACGCTCTTCTCACTGTCCTGAGGATCTCAAATTTGAGCATCTCATGATCGCTGTATCCAAGGCTGTCCTGGAGCATCACATTTCCAACGAGCCCTTCCCTGTTGGTGAGCACGAGGTCAAGCATGGCACCTCTCCTTGTCGGCTTCTCTATTACTTGCAGAAGGAAGTTGTCGTCTACACAATCGAGGAACCTCCTGGATTGCTTGTGCCTCCTACCAAAACTGTTCTTTCCCTTCTTTATCATCAGACCAGCTCCACCAGCCCTCACAAGACCTTGCCTACAAACTTGGGTCCCTTGTTCAAGACACCCAAACCCCTGACTATGACACCACCTTTTTAACCATTTATTAACCTGGCTAATCTTCCTTGCTTTTTTTAGGTCCTCCCCTGTATCCTGGAGAATTGATGAAAAGACTATCTGAGCTCCAGACTCCCTAACCCCCTCCCCCAGGGCTCTGTAGTCCTTCCTTATGTTCCCCAGACTATTACTATCTATATCCCTATCACCCACACGTATCGCCAGGAGTGGGTAATAGTCCATGGGACTTACTAGAGCAGGCAGCCTCTCTGCCACATCCCTGATCTGTGCCCCTGGTAGGGAACACACCTCCCTTGAGACGGGGTCAGGCTGACAGACAAGTGCTTCTGTCCTTTTCAAAGTAGAGTCACCTACTACTATGACCCGCTGCTTTTTCCTGGCAGCACCAGTATAGATCTTCTTTACCAGTGTTATGGAAATGTGGTCAGTGAATGTTAAAAGCCTGTGCAGAGAAGTGGAACTGGCATGCTTTTACTATTGCATCTTGCCTCTGATGCTTGCACATTTATGACCAACACAAGGCAAGCAAGTCTTCCTGACTTCCCTATTTTCACTCTTCCATTGTACAGCAGTGGTGCATGGGCTGGCTTAGGTATATTCAACCTGCTGAGCCTTGGACTGGTACTTTGCCCATAGCTGAGAAATAACAAATACATGCCACGTACACCATGCTGCTTTCTGCTTACTCTGCCCACATTGCTGGCCAAAGGAGAAGAATGAAAGGAAAAAAAAAGCCTAAAGCCAATTTTCATTCAGACTGTGGGACTACAGCAGCAGACAGAAAAATGGAAGAAAGCTAATCAAAAGGAGCAAATCCAAGCATCTGTTCCCTGTGCAGCAGATGCCCCAGGGCCCAAAATGAGACACTGAAACAATCAACACATTTTGCTCTTTGTTCTTTTCTTCCTAATTTCATTTTTCATGGAAGCGTGTCATGGTTTAAGCCCAACCAGTAACTCAGAACCACACAGACGCTCGCACATTCCCCCTGTCATTCCTCCCTCCCGCTGCACCCAGAGGGATGGGGAGGAGAATCAAAAGAATGTAACTCCCACGTGGTGAGATAAGAAAGTCCAGTAACTAAGGTATAACACAAAACCACTACTGCTACCACCAATAATAATCATGATAAGGGAAATAACAAGGGAAGAGCTCACCACCCACTGACCAATACACAGCCCGACCTGAGCAACTATCTCGGCCTTCCTGGTAACTCCCCGAAGTTTATATACTGGGCATGAAGTGCTGTGGTATGGAATACCTCTTTGGCTAGTTTGGGTCAGGTGTCCTGTCTCTGCTTCCTCCTGGCTTCCCCTCCTCCCTGGCAGAGCATGAGACTCAGAAAGTCCTTGGTCAAAGTAAACATCAACTTGATGGATGGACCACTCAGTGAATAAAGAACTGGCTGGGTGGCTGCAC